TGTCTTCCAACTAGCTGGAGATGAACTTGAGCTCTTCCTGTGTAAATCGCACATTTATGTAACTTAAATAGAAAGAGCAAATGAACTCATGTAAGCTCTGTCAATTTTGTATTCCTCCATTAAAAAAAAAAAAAAAAAAGAAACAAAAACCCCAGAAAAAATAAACCACTTTACAGATTTGGGATTTGAGATGTCAATCCCAAAAAACTTGAGTGGAGAAAAAGGGTTACATCTTTCCTGAGTTAGGCAGTGACACTGAGTCTTCAATAAAAGAGTGGAGTAATTTAAAAGGTCAGGTGTACAAAGTAAAGCTGTCCTTGAGCAGCTTTAACTTATGCAACAGGCACTTATGTAGATAACCCAAGGTCTTGTTGTCCTTAGTAGAATTACAGTGCTAATCTTTACATAAGGATGAGCTGTCCTTAATAGCATCACCCTGTTTAAGAGGCACATGCAGGCTTTTATTCTGTATCATGCCCAGGCATAGTATATATCCTATCATTTTCCTTCTCCAAGTACAGCACAAAGGAGTAAGAGTATCTTCAATAGCAGAAAATGAAAAATAATCTGTGCAATTACCTTTCTGTGTACATTTCTCCATTGCTGAGAAATAATGTAACAGTAAGCAGTCCAAATGATTGTAAATGATTCCCTTGGCAAAGGGAATGTGGTTACAGTAAGCGAACAGTCTGTTGCTGGTTTTGCTTCAGACTTGCTGAATGAACTTGACCAAGTCACTTAGAATCTCTAAAGTTTATTTTCCCCTACTCTGAAATTTGTTTACTTCACAAAATGCTCTAAGACAAAATCTCTGCAAAGCATGCTGACTTGTAAGGTAGAATGCTCTGTATGTTTTTGTATTACATTTATTTTTAAAATAAGCTTTTTTAACATACTAAAAATAACATAGATTCTGTATCAAACATACTCTATGTGCTGTTGAAAATTTTTTTCTGCAGCCTTGCAGAGTTGTTGGGAAAACTCATCAGGCACAAAGAGTAATTGTCTTCATTTAGCACTGGAATAATAAGAGTATCTATATTATTGATATATTACCTTTCATTCATTGAAGTTAATTCTTTCAGGCAAATGTGTGACTAACTGTTCCACATTGTTATGAAATATAAATTTAGAAGACTGCCTGTGCATTTTCATTAAGTCCCTGTGTCTATTCCACCTTTAGATTGGAAAAGCACCTGATACATATGTTTGTATTCATGGGTGATTCAAATCGTGGTGTATTTTCAAGACAGGTACTCTTAGTTTCCTATTAGTGGGTTTTTTTTTACATTTTTATTGTATTTCTTTTATTTTGTCTATGTCTAGATTGCAAATGTAGATCCCCAATCTGTCTCATTAGAAATGAGAGGGATCAGAGATATTACAAGTTAAATATTACAATGCTTAACTTTCTGATTTTCTTCTTATTGAGCAGTTACTTGAAATTGCTAAGTCAGGGACACATCCATCAGTCTTCATCAATCTAAAACCACCTCTGAAATCCCCAAAAATGTTTTGCTTTATAAGAATTTGTGCCTAATATTCTCTTCCACCCTTCCCTGGGATGAGTCAGGAAGACCAGAACCTCTACAAGATTTTTTTAAAACACTTGAATAAAGCGGAGAGGTTAATGTCTCTTCAGTAAGAAGCCAATGATGCAGCCTCGCAAGTTAGATATATGCAGGGAAAAGAATCCACACTGCAGATTTGGATTTTTGCCCATATCATTCCAGTAAGTGATACAGCCTAAGATTCTGCATTCAGTCAGCATTAGCATAGATGCAGGTATCTACCTGAATACTCTTTACCTTTAGGAAAGAAAACGCAAGAGAAATGGGCTGCTCCCTTCTCCCAGAACTATGTAGAGTCTAACCCCACAAAATACCAAGAAAGGAACTCCTATGAGTAGTTTGGAATGAGGACGGACAATCACCCTATTGCAACAGAATTCCTTATTTCCCTATTGTCTTCAAAACTTTCCACATCGCTCTTCCTAGAAGTGGAAGGGAAAATTTAGTACTTGTAGAAAGTCAAGATCTAACCCCATTTTGTATAACATGTAAAATAATAGTATTGTTTGCAGCTTTAATCTGGCTTTTACTGCATTTGAGAAGTAAGGCATACCTGCTTCCTAAACGATTCTCTCTTTTCTTAGCCAAAAACAGTCGGCAAATATCTTTTGCTTCCTCTGTGAAGTTGGCATGTTCAAATTTCACCTCATCTTCCAGAGTTCTTCTTTTAACCTCATCCTTACCGACCTTTTCTTTGAAATCCTTGAATGGTGTTCGCCCAGCAACCATCTCATAAATACTACAACCCATAGCAAACCAGTCCACAGGATAGCTGTAATCTTCTTCCTTCAGGATTTCCGGAGCCATGTAACCATTTGTCCCAGCCTATTGCAAACATACAGACAGATTTACTACACAATGCCAGTAATGAAATGCAGACAATTAAACAGAGTAGTCTATAATTCTTCCAAAATGTTAGTAATACGACTGATGCATTTGTATCTAGAAACTCTGTATAACTGACATTTTTTTATCTGGAATTTGAGGTATAACTCTGTTCTAGCACATAAACTATTTCTGTCTTTAAACATCTTAGCATATGGGAAACTGTCTTAAATATGCTCTTCAAAGGTGAAATGTCTGTGCAATTTCTACCTAAAAGTGATTTCTTTTAAATTAATGTTTATCTTGCTTTCTTCTTCCATACTAATTTTTTCCTGTTGAAGATAGCTTTGGTAGCTTTGTTCTGTAAATGCAACTAGCAATCAATTCGAAAAGATTAACAAAAGACAAAAAACAGACAATCAATCACAGACTCTCTCCCCATTCAGTGGTTATAACTGGTCCAACACAGGGATCTGCTGCCAATGAGAAAATTCTCATCAAGCCGGCAGCTGAGCTGCATGAGGAAGTTCTCACCCGCGCTCCCTGTTGGTTTCTGGAAGGAAGTACTACTATCAAGGGCCAAGAAAAACTCCTAAAACCATTGTAAGAAAGTAAACCTATGAAAATTATAATTAGTAAATTACATGCGTTCAGGTGAAAGAACAAGTTCTATTTCCTAACTGAAAAAAGCTCTTGGAATAAAGACTACCAGCATTCCCTCAGCTGACCCAACATTTCCTGCTGCATCTGACGCTGCATCTTATTTTATATATTTACAACTATGCTAGAAGTTGCTTGAACCTCTTTTATACCTTTCTGAAATACTCAGAGTGATGAATTAGTAGTATTACCATTTAAAATGAAAAATCATGTTCATGCAAAATCCCACTAAAGGTTTTTCAAGATGGTCATCATTACTGCTACCAGAACACAAGTAGCGAGAGATTCACTCCAAAGCAAACAGTTAGAAAAAGGTAACTAAAACTAGAGCTCATTTGGGCAAGTCATATTTGTAAAAAGCACAGCTCAATGATTTAATTTTATTTTCTGGGGTTTGGGTTAACTCCTCTAATTTTTGCAACTTTAGGCACAGTATTTCTGAGTCAGGTCTCCCTATAAACTTTAGCTCATGCCACTATACATTACAGCTTATACTCTACTGTAAACAATGTGTGCAAGAGGAAACATCTTGGCATCAATTACAACATAGGCCTAATGGACAGAAAATTAAATCTAGTTTGTTTTCCCTCTTTGTATTTTTTTTTTTTTTACTTTTAGGGATATAGAGCAAAATCCTCCATTTGGTCAAAAACCAGATGAGAACAAAAATAACAGCCAGGTTGAAAGCAAAATAAAAGGTTAAAAGCGAACTGTTTTCTCCCTCACTAAACCCATAAAAGCACAGAGGAGCCACCTCTGTACTGTTTGCGCTGAACTTCTCTAAGTGAAAGTTAATATCGAGAGATACCCTGACAGCATTACATTTTTATGTACAATTACTGCTCCATTCAGAAAGGGGGACAAGTGCTCAAATGTGGACCACAAAACCCAGATCCATCTGGCCTCAGAAGATCATGAAACCTGGAAGGGAGAGGAAGAGTTGAAAGCAGTAGAGAAAGTTTGATACAAAAAGATGCACACAGAGCTCACTGCGCGTTAGCGAACACAGACACTAAATAGGGTTCTGGAATATTTCCTGTCTTCTTTTTTTTTTTTTTTTTTCTTTCAGGGAAGCAATAAACATTTTTATTTTTACTGAGACGAAGCTGGGATACTAATGTCTTGAAGAACTGATGAGTCATATCATCATCAAAATGTACCCAGACAAGCACAGTATGGTCTTTCTGATAAAACATTACTTTGCTGCAACTTAGCATCATCATACGGGAACTGGATAAAGCTGATGTGGAAAAGTCAGAATCCTGCAATGATAAAGGTGTCCGCAAGGCAGCGCCTTTCAGACTGCCTCTCTTTCCTTCCACTTGTGTTCTTTCTTCCACAGTTGTTTCTTCAAAAGAATAGTTGCCAATAACTTCAGGCTCTTCCATGCGCATTTTCCACATAACCCTCAGTAAGTCATGCACAGAGAAAGCAAGACCATAACATCGCAGACCAAAAAGACTGCATGACCACAGTTTAATAGAAAATAGAGATGGACCAACAACAGCTTCCCTTCAGACTGAAGTGAAAGACTGTGGATGGGGTTACCATAAACAAGAATTAGACTTCAAAATTCTGAATTAGCAGCACTGATATCTTTTGAGATGTTACTGAGCTAATCCAACTCAATCAGAGAAGTCTAGAAAAATATACTGTTCCTCTGATATGTCAAACCATTTAAATTCACGAGTTTTGAGAGAGCTTTTTCTCATGAAATTTCATCAAAACTTGAACCTAAACTTAAAACAAATCTCTCCCAATCCTGAAGCTTTCCTGTGATTCATAATGAAGGAACAGGCTGAGAAGCAGGAATCTAAACCTAATCTCATAACCCCTGAGACTCAAAACCCACTTAAACATTACCATATTATAGCAGAAACAAACACATTTCACAAGCAGTCAGCAGTGATGTTTGAGGGGGAAGAAACACATAAAGAAGCAGGGAGAAGAAATACATAAATCTCTGCAATCTTTATCAAAACAGGAATTTGAAGAAAGGAAGAAAAGACCTTAAATTGTAGTCTCTTCCACCCATTTCTACATACGTGGAGCTTTGGCAAAATCATTTGGGAAGAAAGATGATCATTTGGGAGGAAAGATGATCAAGCCATAAGTATTTGCTGTATTAGGGAACACAAAAAAAAAGCAATTATTCAACCCCTGGAACTGGAAGAACACACATCTTTCAAATAAGATTTAATTCTGTCTTTGGGGAATAGATAGCATAAGAGGGAAGCTAAAACCTAACATCCCTGCACTAATCATTATGGAGAACATGATGTCAAAAATCAGATCTTATTTCAAGGAAAAGAGATCCTGTGGCAACATGAAAGGCTTGAGCAGGTGAAACAGAAGCTTAGTGAAGGGAGTTTTTAAACCATATAACTCTCTCTAGCAGTCGTGGAATTTGGGCAGCAAAAAACCATAGTATATTAGGTGGAAAATGTATCCACCGATTCCCAAAGCAAAAGTGAGTCAGAATAAAGAGCTAAGTTACTCTCAGCAGGCCAAGGAATAAATAAATGTACTGTAAATGATACTCAAATATAAAAAGGAAAAAAAAGGACAGAAAGCAAAGGGATTAAAAGATATCACAAAAAAGATAAATGCATTATTTTTGGGAAGGGGTCTATCTTCCATGGGCTGGTAGTGAATAGTTAATTTAGTTAGAATTATCTGACGTGCCTCAGAATGGATACCTCCAAGTATGGGTTACTGGTATGTCTATCATAAAAAAAACTGTAATGTTTTTATGATTTTGTAGTTGCTTTCACTCAATATAATTTGTAAGTAAATTCAGAAGTTGTGTAATAACTGAAAACCACTTTTTCTTACTAGATCTTATTTTACATGGATTAATTTCACTCTTCTGATGGAAATAGGGAAAATGAAAAAAACACCACCAAAACCCACTCAGAAAGTTGAATTCCTTTTTTGTCAATGCTATACTACTAGGATGTACATGGGGTTTTGACTGAGACTAAGACCAAGCACATTATTTTCTTCTTTCCTGTTGGATTCCTGATAAAACCAGGAACCATCTGAACATACGTGTTGACTGCTCTGGTGACTTTACAGAGACACACAAACACATGGAATTATCCCTTCACTGACCTGGAAGCACATAATGGGACACAATAAAAAAAAAATCACACAGGAGCCAAAGAAGGTTATATTAACTTTTTTACAGAAGGCAGAAATCATAAGCCATTGCAGAGGCACATAACTTTCTGAAGTGTAGTCAGTGCAACCCTAGCTATTTTTTACTTGCTCTCCATCTAATACTGTCTTTTGTGATGATGAGCAGCATGCCTTACTTGCATATGCTGTTTGAAATACAAAAATAGTCATTAATTTCAGTCAATTAAATTTTAATCATCTTGCTTTTCAAAAGAGTTAACAGATCTACTTCTCCCTTTCTTTCCCTTCCAAAATACAATTTTTCAATAATCCTCTAAAATGTAATGACCAAATGTTGTCCTTGGATACATTAATGAAGAAGTTCTGTTAAGTGGAATTATTGCTTTGAGTGTGGCTTGACAGGGCATAGTAGAAATGACTCATCTGAAAGTATACAAATGTTTCTTTTGTGAAATCTGATCCTGCATACATTTTTAAAGGTCACATAATTATAATCTTTTAATAATACGAGATGTGATCCTGAGAAGCACTAAGTGCACTCAGTTCCCAGTACAGCCGACGCGTACTTGGCACACCACAGCTCCGAGCAGAACGAGGCCCCCAGTGTAAGTACATTCATACATCCTATTCAGATCGCTGTCTGAGAAGGGAAAGCCCCTTGAACACCACCGTTATCCCAGCTTCTAGCAGATGCAGGGGAGAAAGAAACAGAATTCTCTGGAGCTTTCAACGACACAGAAACAGACAAATGAGGAGAAATGGGATTTAGAGCTCTCTATCTTTTCCCACAGATCTCTGCAAAACAAACTCAATTGATATTACAAACCAAACAGTAAAGCAAATCAGAATGTCTATCTTTTGTTTGCCATGGCACAAGAACTGTTGAACAGAGGAAAAAAAACAAGCTGAGTTTAGCTCTATCAGCTGTTTCCTGGGGCTTGGTCCTTCCTTCCTCCAAGGGGTGCCACTGCCTGCTTTGTTCTCTTGTCCAGCTGTTCCTCCACACATGAGCTAATAGGCCCTAGATGGCGGGAAGAACAACTGATCTGCCTCTTGTCACTCACTGTAAATCTTCACTTTTCTCCCAAGAGCCACCGTGAGGAGGAATGGAGCGTAATTTAAATGAGTCACGCAGAATGGCACTTCCTCCACGCTTTCTCACCACATGCTCATACAGTAACAAGAAGCCAGTTGATCAA